CATCAACATCCATCACAACTAGGATGATTCAAATGAAGACCCCCATGGTGATGACTGATGACAATGTTGATGATTTATGAGTTCTTAAGTGATATGTCATTGCTATTTATCCTCAAAGATATGGTAAGTAGCATTTTTATATTTTATATATTATTTACTTATTAGTATATACAAAATTTATCATTTTATGTTTACGTCATTTTTTGATTTTGAGGCTTACGCCTCACTTCACGAACAAAAAATGTCTCAATACCCGATTACGCAATTTTAAACATTGATCTATGTAAATGAATTTCTATGTTAAGTTGCATGTATTCATAATTCATGAAAGGAAGAACTTGAAGCAATATCTTATGTTTATGTGTATAATGATTCTTAAGTATCACCATAAATTTTATATGCAAATATACATTTAGAAATTACAATTCACTAAATTCTGACACATACCTCTCTCTTCGTCTTATTTGCGAGGAAATACTTATATAGCGAGCTCGGGCCTCCTCCCTCCATCTCGCCTTTTGCAAGACGAGAGCAAATCGATCGCATCATTGACTTGCTCTGATGCGGTAAACTATCTAAAACTTAGGGCCCCTATGTCTGCAAAGTATTGCATGTGAATAGGATTCCATAAATCTTAGGTTCTTGTAGAAACCTCGCATTTAATTTTTCGAACCCGGTAACTCGCTAGTGAGTAAGACTTTACTCATTAATGTCAAGTGTAGGGACACGTAGTACTGATTTATTACCGACATTTAGAATTTTCTCCTTTCAATTTTCATAAACCATAATGTGTATAATTCTAAATAAATAAAGTAAAACTAATATATTAATAAAAATAAAATTGAATAATCAAACATAAATAAATTAAACAAATTAAGTTCAAATAAATGACATGAAATAAATCTAAATTAAATAAATTAAAAAGAAAATTCCAAATAAAATTCAATAATGTAACTTAAATAATCATGATAAATTAATTAAACATTCAAATAAAATATTAAAATTTATAAGTCTCTAATAAATTTTAAATAAATCAAGAACCTTTATGCATTATATTTAACTCTACTTAGAAGATACATATGTATTGGATTGGAGGATCTTTAAATAATTCATTAAGTCTAATATTTATAAGAGAATATAATATTTGCATAATCCAATGTAAATTAAAAAGACAGTTTGGTCAAACTTAATTAATTAAATATTTGAATAAATGTGACAATTCAATAAATCACCAAAAATTTAGCTAATCACTAACCAATAATCAAACTTAAATAAATAGGTAATTGTTGGGTAACCCGGCCCACAAAGCTATTAATTTAGCCCCAATGAGAGTGAAATAAATCTCATTACCCTGGTTTAACAAAGGTGATAAATATTCAATTTAAATAAACATTCATCCGAATCAATAAAAAAACATTTAGACATTTGAACCCTTCATATATTATACTTTATTCCTTTTAGAGAGCATACATATATTGGATTTATAAGGCCTGTATCTTAAGTCGCCTAATAAATCAATAATAAGTCTCAAAGACATTAATATAATTTTAAAATATTAAAGCTTAAATTTAAATTAAAATCTTCATTGGCCTATAACCAATACATAAATTCAAACTTAAATAATTTAAATATCATATATCCTAGGACATATCAACAGCACATGACATTTTTCACACACTTGAATTTATTTGTTAGGGCCACTTACTCTAATTTTAGACTGAGTCGTAGCGTGTTTAGTTTTATGTGGATATATTTTTCTGTAAGGTATCCTTAGTGTGTTTGTTTATTTTATTCACTCTGAATGTTATATTATACATGCATTGCATGTACATATTTATAATATCTTTCTTTAATGCAAAAAGAAGAGCAAAGTAGAATATATCTAGGCTTCCTTGTAAAAAGTAAGTGAAGCGGAATGTACGTAAGTGCAAATGTATATACAAGAGTCAAACGTAAATATAAAGTGTCTAGAATGTAACTAGATTGAATTGTATATATATTCATTGAGTTGTAAATGTTTAAAAATATTTTCTTATACATATACATATAGGACCCCAAAAGATAATCCCCTCTTCCTTAAGGGATGTTCTCTTTTGAAATTCTATAGAAGGCCCGAAGTCAAAAGATGATAAGCAAGTATATTTAAACCTATATTTCATAGAGGTAGAAAACCAGATTTGTTTCGATGGAGTTTGACCACCTAATTTTCTTGCAGACCCGGGTTGTATTTATATTTTATAAATAAATGAATAAAAGATTTTTCTTTATGTATTTGCTCCATAAATCATCATAAATAATGACACTAGGTAAATTCATTTGCATATTTTGTATATCCCTGATTTAAATTTTCAAATTAAAATCCTTGACTCTAAGATAGAGCCACCCTATATTGCATGAATAAGGCGTTGATTGATTTCTAGAATGCTAGCTGACTGTCCACTTAAGACAAACATAAATCTAGATTATGCACCCCTCAGTGTGTCTTCTCTAAATCCTAAATAAATTCTAGATCTATAATTTCTCCTGAAATAATAAATCAATCTTTAGTCTTCTAAACTCAAATTTTTAATCAAATCTTCATACATTTAAAAAATAAATAAAACCCTCACTAAAGATGAAGAGAAGAATTTATCACCTTTGAATTAGAAGAACCTAGGAATCCCGCTATGCACCAAACCAAGAAGAGATAAAATATCATCCCTAATCGAGAGTATTCTTAGGTCAAGGCCTAAGATGTAATTAACCATGGAAGCATGCTTCCGTGCGAAACCGACGCCCACATCAAATAAACCCCACTTAAGTTGAAGTATTGAATGGGGGAAATCTCGTAACTATCGAATTATATATATATAATTATACATCAAAATGTGTAAGAGAAAGCAACTATTTTCTATGGATGATCATATATATAATTGTATCTACTCTTCTATAGGCCTGCTCATGTAGAGTGTAAACGTTTGTGATCGTTTTGTCCTATGGGATAGTGCAATCGTATCCTTTGCATTCTATGATGCTAGCACTATATTTCCGGAGACCCACACATGTAACGCATTTTTTAATTATTTACACGCAATATAATGAATAAGTAATAAATTTATATTATGAGATAGATAAATACATATAATTATGATAGGTATAGAAAGGAATCTAAAAATAAAATGCCACGACGCAAGTATGCCAATATAGATTACAAATTGTTAAAAAAATCATGAAATTAGTTGATAGTTTCTATTCACATAAATTGCTAGTTTTAAATTAAGCTCATAACATGCTTGAATTATAAGACAATTGACAATAAACTTTCGTTTAAAACAGTTGGCAATTTCAAGACTTTTGGAGGAGTTAAGTAGATTGATGCTTGGTAAACAACTGCTAATGTATGGTATTCTTAGTAGGATGTCGATGCAAATTTAAGTAAAATGTCTCATAGAATTAAAATTTTTCGAGTTAGATAGAGATCAAACATTACCACTGAACAAGATTGAACCTCCACTAACAAGCAATGTTATACATGTGAGGTCCACCAATGAACTTTATCAACACAAATCTTTCTCTCCACCCAATTTGTCCTATCCTGATTGATTGCATTAGTCTTCCAAATTGATTTGAGCCTCAAAGAATTTTGGCTAAGATTTTAAGATTATATTTTAGATTTTAGAGTTTCTGATTTCAGTTGGATTGTAGAATGGAAGGGGAGCAATTCTGAAGTCCGAAAAGGGTTTCTTTTTTTAATGTTTAGGAAGAAGAGCAGTTGGGTTGGGCTTCAGAAGGCTGGCTTAGGAAGAAGAGGCGCTGGGTTGGAGTTGTGCGGGCTGGCTCTGGGAAAGGACGGAGATGATTCATTTTGGATGGCTAAGAGGTAGGAGAAATTAATGATGGCAGTGACATTGAACTAAATGAGAAATTACTTTCATAATTTCAACTTTGATACCAAATTGGTGAGGACCTTGTCGATACAGATCTCTGAGGAGCAATTCTGAATTATGAAAACGGTTTCTTTATTTAATGTTTAGGAAGAAGAGCGGTTGAGTTGGGGTTCAGCAGGTTGGCTTAGGAAGAAGAGGTGCGGGCTCGCTCTGGGAAAGGACGGAGATGATTCATTTTAGATGGCTAAGAGGTAGGAAAAATTAATGATGGCAGTGACATTGAACTAAATTAGAAATTACTTTCATAATTTCAACTTTGATACCAAATTGGTGGAGACCTTGCCGATAAAGATCTCTGAGGAGGTTATCTCTTTGAGTTGATTGTAGAAACTGAGAGAAAGGAGCAAAATCTGCCTAAAGAAGCGTGATTCTTTCAATTAGATCAAGGGCGTGAGAAGAAGAAAAAGATTAACTTTTTTTCAAGAGAGACGGACGGTTCAGCTAGTTAGGAGAAAAGAGAGAATTATAATGGATGATTTAAGAGAAAATTTTCAATTGTGATTCACCATTATGAAAAAAATCCCTCAACTGTTCATATAAATCGGTTTTACAATTTAAATTCAAAATTAATCATATAATCTAATTCAAATTTAATGTAAATACTATCATCTAATTCAAAATTAAAAACTAGAGCCTTAACATGGATAATTTTTGCCTAATTTAAATAAAAATAAGCCTAGAAAAACAAAAAAATACATTAAAATTCATGAATTGATTTGATCTGGGTTTAGTTTGGACTTTGATTTTCGTCATGAGTCTATGTTTGAGTCCATGTGTTGCATTGCATAGGTATAGTGAAGAAAATAATTCATCAGAATAAAAAAGGCAAAATGTTCAATCCAAAGTACATTTAGCAAGGAGCAGGTAAAACTGAGTATTTCTCAAAGAGGAAAAAGAAAATATGGGGAGTTGGAATATGCAACCACAGCATGCAAAAACAATTTAACATAAAACTAGTTCATGTAATACGATCATCATAACTTCAAAATTATATAAGTTACTTAAAGAATATCAATATTGAGTGATTTCCATTCGTATTACTCGTGTAACTGAAAAAAAAAAAATTTGAACTACCTTGTCCACAGCAGACTCCTGATTTGTAGATCCCTTCTTATCAGAAATTTTATTCTGCATTAAAATATAACCTTCCGGCACTTTTGCACCAGATATAACATCCTGTAGCCAATCTTCAAACCTTGTGACAGCTTGCCCCAAAATATCAACTGTTCCCTCATCAATTTTACTGCCATCGCCAACCTTCATACTTGGTGAAAGACCAGCATCCAATATGATATGCTCAGCCAACGCAGGACCATAGCTTAATGCTTCACCAAGAATTGCTTTCAAAGAAGTCTTGTTAGATCGAGCACCATCATTAGCTTTCTTGCTCTTTCCTGATACATTACAGGTGTTATTATTCTTAACCTGCTCTGACAAATTAGATGAGTCTGCACCACCTCCAGTAAAGTCAGATTCTTCAGCACCATCTGATGATTTACAGAGAGTAAGAGACGCTTTTAATTTCGTGAAGTCAGTCCTCTCAAAAACACGGCAAGCTTCAATCGGATAGCGGTGGCGTGACATGATTGCCAGTCCCTTATCATCATCTCTGAGGTAAATATCATGTGTAACAATAAAAAGCTGGTATTTCTACCATTGAGAGAAAATATGACTTGTGATGTTAACTCAGCAAATGGCTCTATTTCACAACAATATCACAGCACTGACAAGAATCTCAAACACAGTAGGACAATCAGGCAATTTTCTACAAAGAAATGCTTGCTCTGCTAATAAGCTCTGTTCAGCATGGCTAGGGAATTGCAAATTAATAATTTCCACCATGCAAAGCGAATATGGTAAGAAGATCATTTCAGTCCAAGATGCCCCAACAATAATTCCTGATAAAAGTGACATCCACATTTGAGGCTTAAGTAAAACCTTTCTTAGTTACGTCATTCTCCCAGAAGCTTAAAACATACAATTTGAATTTCTAAAAATGTTTTTCAAATCAATTGTTTGTTGAACAATTTCCTTGGACCTTCAGTCCCATAAGTGAAGCAAATGTATTCCTTTTTTGGCATGGCTTATAATGTGCATCAGGATGAACACAAGATAGATTAGGTAAATACAATATATACTCTATTTAAATAATCGCATTACAGATTTTGTTTCTGAACATAAGATGGCATTTTTTTGTATATCTTGAGTTTCATTCCCCGTTATTCTATCCAAATACATATTTCAATGCCCCGTTACGTTGTTTTCCACTTTTAAATGTGCTTGGAAAAATTAACACTTGCCCCATGATATCTCACAAATCCCACCCATCTCTATTAGGGCCAAACCAAAAGATTTATCGTCAACAAGAGAATTCTATGAGAGCAAGCATTCAGGAAAATCTAGAGAAACTTATGTTTGAATTTCTAAAATGTAGAGAATTAACATTTCTAGATGAGATTTTCATTTAATGTAATGTAACTACATTATCTAATGAAAAGCTGCAAACTATAGATCTCGGCTCCCTCATTAAGCAGTATATCTCAAAATTTAGGCTCTAACATCTCCCTTCTCCTATGTTGTGGAAGTGAACCTCCTTCCATACTTGAGCTGTGGCAACAGAAGAAAGAAAAGAGGATGGGGTGGCATGCATTGCACCGTGGCAACAAGCTATATTAAAAAAAAAAGTTTAAAAATATAAAAAGAAATAAGGTGCATTTTAGCTTTATGTTTAATCTCCGACGTCTTCAGGATATCTTAAGTTCAACTAGAAGGTTAAGGTTATAACAGATTTCAGCTTTATGTAATCATTATATAATCCTTCAATTTTTCCAACTCATTGCCAGCCAGAATTCCATCTAAAAGGTACATGATCCTTCAATTCTCTAACTTATTTACAAATAGAATTCTATCTAGAAAGTTAGAGTACTGTCGTCTTCAAAAACTCATATTGAAAAAGGAACATGGGCATTTCATACTATCAAAATTCGAATATGATGACCATATTAGGTAAATGGATTAACTACGATAAGTACTTGCCTTCTTTATATCTATTATGTGGTTTCTTATTTAGAGAATATTACTAAAGGTCGATTTGTGTTATGCTTCTTGATCTACATCAAGAAGCGAAAGGCACTTTTTGAGTAGGCATGGAATCCTTCAAGATGAAGACGAGTAAGAAGAGAGATTAGAGAGGGAGAAACCATAAATCTTTTCATTTCATAACATTTTATTATAATAGGAGGGGTATTTAAAATGCTTGGGTAAACAAAGTTTACAATATAGACTAAGTTTACGATATAGAACTGGTCTACCTAACATAAACGTAATATAATACAAGAAATAAACAAGTGCTTATTAAATATGTATAGACCATTTATTTTGTACTTTACTTAGCTAAAGATATATTGTTGATGTATAAAACTCCCATCGCAATTGAAAACAACATTGTTCTCAAAGTTGAGAGAAGAAAAAGATGAAGAGAGGGCTACAAAATTTTTCCATGTGACATCATCTGGAAATTTAATTTCCATTGCAAGAAAACTTGACCGCGAAGTTGTACAAATGTAGAAGGAGAAAAAACATGAGGAATTCATAGTGACCATCATGAATTGTTTGATGAACATCTTTAAAATGAATCTTGAGAGGCAAAATGAAAATGAAATTTGAAAAAAAAAACGCTCTATGTAATTCATCTAAAAATTCATGTACTATTGGAATAGTAAATTTAACTTTAATATTGAGTATATTAAGGGGTCTAGAGTTAATGCAAGCATGCCAAGTACCATTAACATCCTTTTGAAAATATGGAGAATGATAAGGACATATGTTAACTAATTGACATAAGGATGGAAGATAAATACATTAATCAATGATATGAGGTTGAGATAAACCTTGTGGTGGCTGAAACAATGTTGAGACTGTTTGAGTAAGGTGGAACTGGATAATGGTAGATAATATGTAAGAAATGAGAAATTAGTAGGAGGTGGAGATTGTGGAGAAGGGATTCAGCAGGTGGAACCAAATATGCCGGCAGAAGAGGAAGTATCTTGATAGAGTGAAGTATGTGGACGGTCAATACACAAACTATCAATTTTCTTGTCTAAGGAATTCATGAAAGCATGAATTTGTTGAAGGGATGAGCCAATGGAAACAAATTAAACATCGACTTATTGTAGAAATTTTTATATTTCAGAGAATTGTAATTATTGATTTGTTTGCATTGCCCGGATGGCTTCTGCCAAATCAAAGTTTCTCATGTTGAGAGTTCTTTGGTGGCTGCTGAAAATGAATAAAAGATGTGGTTCTTGATAAAAAGAACCTTAACCTGATGTAATAATGAATGCAGCTGACGTTTGGAAGTAAGGTTGTGGTTGAATGACTGTACTTAAATGACTGGCGGCAGTGAAAAGAACAAAAGGTAACTATTCCATGGCAAGAAGCTAAATAACTAGGTTCGTGGCCAGCTGATATCAATTGGAGCTTGCAGGGGAGAGTAAGCGGCTGAAGAACAGGTTCTTGCAGAATCTGAAAAAGTAGTGATTGAAGGGCTGTTTTTGAAGTTCTTGCAGGTGCAAAATCTAAAAAGGTGCTGAATCTGGGTGCAGAAGCTGAAAAACAGCAGAAATTTTGAGAAGCTGCTTGTATTGTGACTGGTGGCAACTGAATTCTGGAAGAAGAGGCTGAAGTACTGGTTGCTGAGCAGAATTTGGTGTTCGCTGATGCCGAAAAACCAATGGCTGCTGCTGGCGTGGAGGCAAGAACTGTGGAGAAGAAGGAATGTTGTGGTGTCAAGAAACAATTTAATGCAACAAGAGCACCATTTGATAGTTGATGCTGAAAAAGGAAGGTAGGTGGCAGATTCTTTGGAGAGCAGCAGCTGACGGCAGATTTTGAGTTGAAATGAAGAGCAGTTCTTGAGAAAAATAACAGTGTCTGAAGGCAGGCTGCTCCTGGTGAAGTGGAAAGCAGCATGGATGCTGGCTGTAGAGGAAAAAAAGGCTGGCTGCGGTGGAAACTGATGGCCTGCAGGGATAGGAGGTGAAAAATGTGGGTTTCGGTGGAAGAGAAAGGTGGCTAGAGGTTGAAAGAAGTGGGCCTGTGGTGGAGACTGCTGGCTGACCGAGATAGGAGGTGGATATGTGAGTTTGATCTCATCGAGAGCACCATTTGTAATGCTTGTTGATCTACATCAAGAAGGGGAAGGCACCTTTTAAGTAGGCGTAGACTCCTTAAAGAATAAGAAGGGGAAGAAGAGAGACTAGAGAGGGAGAAACCAAAAATCTTTTCATTCCATAACATTTTATTACACCTTTTGAGCAGGCATAGACTCCTTAAAAATCGCCCTTGGTCTAAACTACAGTGCTAATTTTTTTCTTAATCTTTGTGAATTTCATGAATAATCGAGTCCCGTTCTTCCTAATAATCTAGAAGAGCACCTCTCATCACCTAGTCTATCAATACCTAAAAAATCATGAGATGATTGTTTACTCTAGAAAGAAAAGAAGAAAAATATGACTGAAGCACCCATCAAGCCTTGCGCAAGGAAATAGTCCAATCTGAGCCTAGACTCCATTAAAAATTTAAGAAAATACCTCCACTGAGCTCACGAATAATTGATTAATTAATAATGAACTTTTCAGGCTAGTTGTTTTAAGAAAATAAGTGATATATTGCACTAATCACCCTATTGTAACTTAGTATCTTATGAAGTATTTCACCCAGCTTCTGTACATTTGTTAGCACTTAAAATCAAATACATGTTCCAAAGTCAAATCTCCAGGCAATCAAAATTCTTAAATGAAAAACCTCTATCAGGGAAGAGATTGAAGCACTTCAAAGAACAAAACATGGGATTTTTTAGGAAAAGCAGAGAACAAAATATGTAAGAAGTATTTTTTTCTTCTAATTCAATGTTGAGTAAACTATTGCAAAAAAATTAGAAATAACTTAACAAACAACATTAGAAAATAAATAACAAGTTATTTTCAATAAATGCAAAGAAATACAAAAACTTAAAACCAAGCAGATCATGTATGCAACCAAGAAAAAAACTCGCAATATATATAATGCTTTCCTTGTAGAAATATTCGAGAATGATGTATACAATAACTTCCAAATGAAATTATAAGCCACATATTGAATAATCCAATTTTTTAGACTGGAACAGGAGCAAAGTTAGATGAAACTTTTCTAGATTCTATGTTATGTCAATTTACCCATAAGGATCAAATTTACAACGCTACCCCTCAACTTGGATCATAAATATGCATCATTCCTAGCTTGGACATTAAGCTATTAAATTGGGCCCTTCAAAGGGCTTTGATTAGGATGTCAGCAAGTTGAAGATATGATGGACTGTACAACAACAACAACATCAAGCTTTTATCTCACTACGTAAGGTCGGGTACATGAATCATTTTTCTCCATTGTATTATGTTAAGAGTCAAATTCTCATTTAAATCTGATAAAGAAATGTCATTTCTAATATTTTCTAACCAAGTCTTTTAAATCATCATAAATATGCATCATTCCTAGCTTGGACATTAAGCTATTAAATTGGGCCCTTCAAAGGGCTTTGATTAGGATGTCAGTAAGTTCAAGATATGGTGGACTGTACAACAACAACAACATCAAGCTTTTATCCCACTACATAGGGTCGGGTACATGAATCATTTTTCTCCATTGTGTCCTGTTAAGAGTCAAATTCTCATTTAAATCTGATAAAGAAAGGTCATTTCTAATATTTTCTAACCAAGTCTTTTAGATCTACCTCTATCTTTTTTAACATAAGTCAAATCCACTCTCCTAATCGGGCGATCGAAAGGCCGCCATTTTTTTTGGGACGGAACAATTAAGGCAAACTCACACACACATCACATATGCAAGACTCAAACTCAACACCTCTTAGATGGTAGCCAAAGCTCCCAACCAATAGCCAAAGGTGAACCGTAAAGTAGAGAAATTATACTATTGTCAATTTTTTCTTTGATGAAGCAAATTCAATATGCTTTGTCCAATCATGGTAAACTGAGTTCTTAGCAATGTTAACTGCAACTTGACTTTCGCACAAAAAGTTGATATGTTAACTTCCAAGAATAAAGAGCTCGTTAAAAAGTCTATTTAAACATATTCCTTCACAAATACCATATGTTATAGCCCAAAATCATATTTGCATTACATTTAACAACAATAGGTTGCTTTCTGCTTCTTAAGTCACGAGAATGCTTTATATGAATAACTAGAAATGAGTCTACATTCAGTTATTGATCCAACCTAATCTACATCAATAAAAGCTTCAATGTTCCGTTGGTAATTTTCTTGAAGAAGAAGAATTCCTTTCCTAGAGTCATTTTTAAGTGGCTCAAGATTTAAAAAAAAAAAAAAAAAATAGCACCCATGTGTTCTTGAGCAGCAAAATTTCAAGAATTGGTTGGCTATGCTCACATGAAATCAAATGTCAGGTCTAGTTTAAATGAAATAAGTTTTCGAGCTATGCTCACATCCATCTCTAAGAAGTACTTAATGTTACCTAAATCTTTAATTAATGAATGTTTGAAACAATGGTGCAAACACCGTTGTAATTAGCTATTTCAAAACAAAGCAAATAGATTCTCCATGCTTCCCACCCTCCAAAGAAGCTTCACAACCATTATGCTTTGCTTCTCTTCATAAGCGTGTTCTCCTGATACATTAACACTACCAAAGAAAAATATGTTGGATATGGATTGATGTGATATCAATGAGGAGATTGATTTGACAGACTCACCTAATTGCTCAATTTTTATGGATACATACAATTTCAATCTCTATGACAAAAGATCACTTGAAGGTAAATCTATAGTCCTGATTGCACAAGTTAATAGCATTTTACATAGGAGACTTTGTAAAAGAAATGAGAAAACTCAAGAGACTTTTTACGGATAGAAAGATTGAGATTTTCATTGATGTTGATTGGGTAGGCTCAACTATGGATTGCAAGTCTACCTCAGGATACCTCAAGGATATTGTGAATTTGTATGGGGAAATTCAGTTACATGTTGCAATAAAAAGCAATTTGTGGTTGCCTAAAGCAGTGTAGAAGATAAGTTTACAGCAATGCCATGGAATATGTAAGATAACGTAGTTAAGAAGACTTCTTAATTAATTGTTCATATCATTAGAACAGAATTAGAAGAGACAATGAAGCTATATCATGTGATAATCAAGCTATATAAATATTACTAAAAAATTTGTGCATCATGACCAGATAAAACATATTGCAAGGAAAAGATAGATGGTCGAAATATATATGGTGGAAATATATCCCTCAGCATATTCCAACTCGCCATCAAATCGCAAACATTCTCATTAAAACCCTTCCTCGGGTAACTTTTGAAGAAACTAGTTTCAATCTGAGAATAATAAGCATCTATCAAGGAGAGTGTTGAAATTTCAATATGCTAAACAAATTAGGCACCCTGATTAATTAGCATGATCATTTATTTCTATTATTTTGTTTTCTATTTTAAAGAACGTAATTGAAGGCTAATATGATTTAATATAAAAGGAATAAAGAATGTAAACTAAGGGATGTAATAGAAAAATGAATAATTTCCTCTCTTCTATTTACTTTCCCTATGGCAGTTTCGAAAGAGCGTAGGTAAGAATGCAATTCTTATGCTTAATTTCTTTATAAACAAAATAAGCAAAATACTTTAGTGCACTAGCGTCCACTATAAGTTGATAAGTTATACAAGTATACGACAATATAAGTTATAATAGGATGTTGCAAATGACTAACTAACTTGAATGATGATTTTTGGGGAAATTTTAGAAACAAGAAAATCAAAAGGTTTTCAATTGAAAAATCAAAAACATTTCCATCTTGATAAATCTAAAAAGAAAATCAAAATCAAAATCCAATTCCAATTCCCCTGGTTATAAATCAACATGAAAGAAGTCAAAAAATTTCAAATGTACAAAGTTTATACTCTTTATAGCATAAGCAAAGGCATATAAGAAAACCACAATGCAAAATAGCAAAAAAAATCAAATTAGATTATAGTTAAACCAGGGGATATAACAACAAACCTATGTGATCGTAGAAGTGTCATGACAGTAAACTCGGAGTCTGTTAAAAGGATATTTCCTTGGGCATATAACTCCAAAATAATATAGTGAGCATTACCACCCAATCCAAACTGGAAAAGAATGATCTGCTCGAGCAAAACAAAATGCAAAAAGATCAGTGCTAGTCACTAAGAATCCCATAAGATAAAAAAATGTTAACAATAAATATTAGGTATGTAGGCTCAAATAGCCCACTACCAACAAATAATCACTCTACCAGTGTATGCAAGCTCCTCCCCCACAATTAAAAATAAATAAACGCACAAACATTCCAGTTAGACCAACCTAAAGATGCTAATTGTCACGTTCACATCATAATATGACACCTTTGCATATAAATTACTATCCTACAGTAGAAGGCAATGAGAATGCAAATAAAAAGTAAAAAAAAAAGTTTATACAACTAAAAAAAATTGTTTTAAATTAGATCTTTTTGCAAATATAGAGTATATAAATCGAAATTGATGTGGACGATATGCTTCCATACGATTATGTGATACAGTTAAGAATATCCTTTAACAATCATGTGCAAGTTGTTGGGTTGATATAGTGCAAGTTGTTGGGTTGATATAATGCAAAGTTCAGATAACAAATAGAGAAAACATAATGCAATTATAACAAGACATGTCAAACACAAGAACTCTGATAGAGAGTATAAATTATTTCGTGCATTGATTCATTCGCAATATTGGGGGAAGGTATCTTTTTCACGTGTACCCTATCATATCCAAGTTGGCGGACGTCTTCAAGCCTTCTTGTTCGAATATGCTTACGTAATTTAAGAGTAAATCCGGAAGGAGTTGTATTTTTGTCCCTACATTAAGCAGAAATTATAAGAATTAGAAAAGGACATTGAATTTGAAATTCATGAGAACTTATATATATATACCTCACATATTCAGTTGTGTGCAACCTAACACCACTTTCCATCAGCAGCAAAACCTTCTCACTCTCCCCAGACTCAGTAATTCCGCTGCTATTCATCAACTTGAAAAGATAAGTCTGTTGAAGCAGGAGCGAATGCTTGTTAGGATACCATTAGTGCAAGATAGAAGGTTATGACAATTCATAAGCAATTCAGAAACAAGTTGATAACAGCAATGACTTGGGAGTTAAGATTGTTAGAACAATTAGTAAAATGAACAACATAAATGGCATATGCTTTTCAATTCACATAAGTAAAGCAAATTATATTATTTGAGGGGCAAACTGAAAGTATATTATACATAGCTAAATAGCCCTAGAAGAGCTCACAATTGCCAGGTTCATAAAGCAAAGTGGATCCAGGAGAAATGAGCAAAGAAGATTTGAAGTAAATGACTAAAATTGATTGCAAACAAATGTGATAACCTATCTTCCTTCATGAACTAGCCACAAACAATATTACAAAGATGAGATAACAATGGGCAATGTTCACAAGGGTGCACAAATGTTCACAAGGGTGCACATGTGGGTATGCAAACGCATTCATGTTTTTCCCAAGTGATAGAAACAAGGGATATTTTAAAATAAGTCAATTTTGTTTATAAAGTGCATTGCTCAAATAATAGCTTTATCTTGAACTTATAAATTTCACATCATGCTTTAAAACAGCTCAAGTTCAACTAATTAACCTTAGCAAGTTCCACACAAGCTAGACGTAAGCTTCAAGAAGACAAAAAGAAGAGTTTGAGAGAATGATCATGAATAATTTTAAAACAAAATCTGAAGACAAATAGGATTTTGAAAACTTGAATAAAGCTCAAACAAGTGCCAGCTTGCTCATGTTTGACTTATTTCTACCATTATTCAAGGTTTTGGCAAATCAAAGACAAATTTTCCAAGCTCTAAAATTAGGTTGTTAATGATAATCCTGAATGTTGTACTATTGTGTAAAACAACATAGATCAAGTTAAAAACAAAGGGGAAGCAAGCAGCCAACTTTAGAGGTGTAAACGAGTCGAGTCGAGTTTTAGCACTATTGAGCTAAGCTTGTCAGTTAGAAAGCGAGCTCGAACTCAAGCTCGTCCCACTATAAATGAGCTCGAGCTGCTTGTCAAGCCTACGGCGCTATCTGGTTTGCATTCTAAACTTGTCGAGCCTCCGCCGCAATCTTTTAAAACAGCAGCATGAGAGAAAGGGGGAGGGAGAGAGAGGTATTGGGCCGCATTTATTATTAAGCGATAATAAATGAATATTTTACTTCAGCATTTATTGAACTGCTGAAGTCTGTTAGAGAGAAGAGAAGAGAAGAGAAGAGAGAGAAAGAGATGACTTTTAAATACATGCACGAGATTTGAAAATTCTCAAAATACACGCAGGAACTCTGAAACTACAGCAGGATTTATATAACATTTATTATTAATTTTTTAAAATGTTTAAATTTAATAATTTCAAGCTGGCTCGCAAGCTCGTGAGCCGAGCCTAATCAAGCTCGAACTCAAGCTCATTTACTCGATTTCTAGCTCGAGCTCGACTCGTGAGCTCGATAAGCTCGGATCGTGAGCCCATAAATGAGACGAGCTTGAGCCGGCTCATGAGCCAGCTCAGCTCACTTACACCCCTAGCAAACTCCCTATATTCAACAAACAACTATCATTTAGAAAACAAAGTTGGAATTCATAACTAGTAAAAGAACAACCCACATTGCAACTCCCTTTTCCATTTGTTTGAACATAACTTGGCATGCAAAGCCACACAAAAGCCAAAAGCAACCTTAATAAATATCTGTGGTAAGGCATTGCCTTTCAAAATACTAGGCCAGTAGCCAAAATATGAAAAGTGCCAAAACACTTCTTACACAACAATTATAAAATATGCAACAAGAGATCAGAACAACTGTTAGACATCCATACTTCAGTAAACAACAATGCAAAAATTTCTTGAAAAGCTACATAAACATTCACTTGGTCATTTACATGAACTACAAAAATTGAAAAGCAGTTAATTTTTCTCTTTTAACTGATATTTCTCTCTAGCCATGCACAAATTCATGTTCAAACAATCCTATCATTCTCTTTCAACTCATTAATGATATAGACTACAATAGGAGCATGCCTCCACTTTTATTAGCTACTTTCCAACCCTTCCATGCTTCTCGATATTAATTTTTCAATTTGAGTTCTATTGTTTCAACAATAAGTCCATGTAGTTGCCCAATATGGCCTAGGAGTTAGACTACAGGACAATAACTTGCTTAGTTTTCTATATCAACACCTTGGAAAGTTGGCAAAAATGGTTAAGCTACGTTAAGGAAAACGATCATGCACGGATCTATGCTAACAAAGGCATGCCAAATTACACTCCTCTTTCTTGTTCGAGCATAAGATTTATTATACGATGGACTTCAGTCAACTTAACGTATTGCATATTTGATTCCCAGTAGCTAACTTTCACCTTAAGTCAGTTAGGATTAGGGTTCTGAAGGATAAATCAATTGTGATATAAGAATCAAGTTAAAATAATGGTTGGACAAAAAATAAGTCGGCAAGTTAGGATTAGGGTTCTGAAGGGAGGCAATACTTTGGGAGAGATGTCGTAAACGTTTGCGCATCGCATCCCTATGAGTCTTCTTAGGCACTTCACCTCAGCGGCCACGTCAGCCGTGTTCATTCTAACCTTCACCATCTTCGTTCCTCAGATTCCTCTGTTTCCCTTTGCTTTGTTTCCACAATCCCCGGTCCCTTTAACCACTGATGGAATTCTAACCGAGCAGAAATTGGTTCGAGCGTTGCGAGTGTCTTTGGGGAGGAGAATAGATCAAACTCAAACACATTTCTCTTTGTGCAATGCGAGAATATGAAGACAATTGAATCAATATTTTTTAGAACAAAAACGCGAAACCCAAATTTTATCTTCGGTCGTTTATATGCATAAATTTGACTTTATAGAGCCTAAAATAATAGAAATTCTGAAATTGTATAAGACTCCATTATTTGTATTTAAATTGAATATGCCTAAAAGTCGAATCAAAACATAATACTTTAAGCATTGTTTGATTGGCTAAAAAAGAACTATAATGTATGAAGAGTATTTTAAAGTTGTTTGAATGAGTGTAATAGTCGGTGGCAGGTGGCGGGTGGTAGGTGGCAACATAGGAGGCGATGGTGGCTGAAGGGCGGCCAGGGTGGTGGCTGGTGGGCAAGTTCTAGCGACAGGTAGGTGATGATGGTGGTGATCAGCAGTGAGTGGCAGCAATGGTGGTGGCCAGCAGCAGGTGACGGTGACTGGCGAAGGCGGGTGGAGGTGATCGGCAGCTATTGGCGGTGGTCAAATGAGCTTGTTTACGATGTAAATCGTTCCTGTTCAAAATTGGATGAATTTGGTTTACCTAAAAAATGAACTATAATGGTTTATACTATTTTTTTTTTTCATCCAACCAAACACCAAAATTTTCAAAACCTTTGCATTTAAAATAATTTACACTCTTATGTAATCCAACCAAACAACCCTTAAATAAATAGATTTGGAATTCTCTTTGAACGGCTATACAATATTTCAATCATGTGAGTTGCTCGACCTTACTTCTTTTTGGCATCTTCTCCATTTCCGATGATTGTCAACCTCGAACCATCAATAAACAAATATCAAAGAGTATTCCATCCACGAACAACCAAATCAAATGATACATGCTTTTTATTATTAAAAATTTAGCTATTTATCATGAAAATTACATATCATTATGCATACACATCCAATATTGAAGCACATATTAGAATTACTCTCAAATAATATTAGTTTTCTTCAATTATGTTATATTTTCTAAAATTAATATAAATATCAGATTAATTATATAAATTACTAAGGAATTTTAAAAATGCCAAATAAGTTTGAGTGTTTCTAATCAATCGAGATGATTAGAAACACATGATCTTTTTTTTTTTACATTTATTTTAATTAAGACAAATTCACATACACATCACATACACAAACTTTGAATCCTATATCTCTTAATTGATATACAAAACTCCCAATCAACAGATCAAGATGAGTTGTGTCACTCATGATCACATAAAATAATATATTTAAGCAAACTTAAATTTTACAAAGCTATTTATGGTCTTTTTTATATTTGGTTATTGAAATAAAGGCTATTTGAAATTTAAAAAATAGGAAACTAACCAAAATAAGTATTGGAAAATTAGTGAATACTTGAAATAGTGGAGAAACCTTATGAAATGCATTGCAATATATATATAGACACACACAAATTACAGCTAGATTGATAATTTCCTTGATACATCACCAAAAAAATGTTTTGATCAAGCACGAATTTTGATGCAAATCTTAGTCGAAAACTTTCAAAATTAAATTTGGGGGTCATCCAAACTCCAATTTCAATAAATTTATAGTGAAATTGAACATCTCAAGAAGAAGAACCCAACGACATCAAATTCGGTCCAATCTGAGCCTAAAAAGACCCAAATCAAAGGACCAAAACATATTTCAAAGCTTTAATTAGATGATCAAATGATATTCAAATATGACATGCTTATAATCGAATCGGGTGGCTCGTTGAGACGAATCCAACCAACCCAAGATCACTTAATTCTGATATCATTATGACATATAAATATTTGAATAATACTTCATGATCAAGAGAATTGATATTAGTTGTCCGAAGGAACACTCCGATATTTTCTTAATTCTTCTCCATATTTACTATATATGACACTCCCAAAAAACTATAAATGGATCATCATTCTTGACATAAGGGGGGCGGAGGAGGAAGGAGAAGACAAGAAAGCTCTCTTATATTTTTCAGCCATCATCGTCATCGCTGGATCTACTCTCGAGTGCTTCCACTGCCGAGTCTTTTACTAACTAAAAACCAACGCTAATTTTTACATGTCCGCTAACTATCACTTGATATCCTCCCGGACGTCGTTGAATTTCTTTTCATCCACCAACCACCGTTGACTTTTGCTTATCTGTAGACTATCGTCAGATCTTCTCCTATCTGCCATCACACCTACCAGATCTCCTCCTGACTGCTGACACTCCATCCAACCACCAAAGCTACATCTACATTCAGACCTCTACTGCACCTTTTGACCACGCCATATATTAGAATATTTTCATCTAGGCAAGGCCTCATGATTTTTTTCCTTTTTGGGTTTTCAACATAAAAAATTTATGGTGTTCCCTTATCATCTCAATTATTTATTTGTTTGCTAAATTTTTGTGCATCCCTAAGAAAAAATAAACTATCTCACTTTACCACTGTGAATTTCTCAGCCCACAATAATTTGGAATCGTCTATGGGAAGCATTCCCAACATACTTCTTCAATTAATATGAATCAATCCCTTAATCAAAAATAACAAAATGTGGGTGAACAAGTCCCCCCAAGCCTCACATAGGGGATCAAATTCATAGGATGGATGAACTTCAAAGTCAAATCCTTCAATTGTTAGAGGAGGCTGGACATAAAAGGGTACCATTGCAATATGATGGATCTCTCCCTCCACAATATAAACAACAGTTTGGAGATAGAGTCAATGAAGTTCTCTTCAATACAACTAATTCAACACATCTTCCCCATACTGTTTAGCCAACCTATAATCATCCATTTATTATGAAGGACTTAGATCAACATCAATTTACTGATGCTACTTTGGACAATATAAGAAATGTAGTATGAACCCTTATTCAGAAAGGAATTTCCTTTGAGGGAATGGAATCAATTTACTCATCCATATATCTTTCAAGAGTTCTCACCCTTAATAAATGAAATTCTCTGGAAACCTATTCAAGTGCGATTCAAACTGCCTTTTATTAATACATATGATGGATCTTCTTATCCCTACAAACATATTGATCATCATAGAATTATTAAGCATATACAATAAGCTTCTAATGCACTTCTTTGTCAGATCTTCCCTTTTACTCTCAAGAGTCAATCTCACAATTGGTTCTACTGACTCTCTAGAAATATTATCCACAACTTCACCCACCTTGCCAAACTTTTTGTTGAATAATTTATTGTTAATCAAAGAATTATCAAGAACTCCTCTTATCTTTCTAGGATTCGTCAAAATGAGGAAGAAATACTAAAAGAGTACTTCAAAAGATTTTCTTTTGAAGAACGTAAAATTTTAGGAGTATATCCAAAATTATTAAGTGGTGTTTTTCAGGAGGTCTCTAACTTGGATTGTTCTACTCTTCATTGATGTGAGAGACTATTCGCTCATACATTGATCTGATTTATCTAGTGGAAGCTCAAATAACAATAAAAGAAGCATTAGTGCTCATCAAAAGTAATTTGATCAATACTCCTTCAAATAGAAAAAATTACAAGAATTTAATCAACATATACAACGAAGAAGGCAGGATAAATAAACAAAAAAAAAAATCTCACCAAATGCATCCCAAGTCACCTAACTATACTCCTTTAAATAAATCAATGGCTAATTTCTTTATGGAGATTCAAAATTTTGAGCATCTCAAGTGATCAAAGCTCCTAAGGAACCCAAACGGAGAAGAGCAACCTCAATATTGTAGCTTCCACAATTCAAAAGAACACTTAACTAAAAAATGCTTTCAATTTAAGGTTGAAATTGAACATCTAATTCACCAAGGACATTTAGGCCATTATTTGCAAAGGTAATTTACATATAATCAGCTTTAGCATAAAGGAGATCAAAATAATATAAAGAAGGCATGCCCATGAGGTATCCTCGAAGGGAAGTTAATAGTAGAGAAGGTCCTCACTAGAAAGACCATATATACAAGTAAAACCTTAAAAGCCATAGCCTCATAGAGTATAGGATTATCTAAAAATCTCAGAAGATATACACCTCTAAAGGCACATGTATACCAAAAATCATAAAATGCTAAAATCTTAAAAAGTTACATGTACATAAAAATCTCAAGATTAAAAGCCTCATAAGATATATATTTCTTAGATTCTGCAAAAATCTAGAGGGATAAAAGTTTTAGAAAGAATGAATTCCTCTAATCTAGTTTATATAACTGGGGGCAATATATCAAAGCATGTCTTAAAAATACATAAAGGACTTAGTTTCTTTTGGGGGGAAAGTTCACAAATCTAAATTATTCTTTAATAAAGATGGATTATTCATTACTTCAAGCAAACATCAATCCCATATTAAAAAAATTAAAATAAATAAAAAGAGATGATCATGTAATTAAAAATATTCCATAATAATAATAATAAATAATAATAATAATAATAATAATTTACATAACCTCAACAACTTTGTCATCACTTGAAAAGCTTTTTCTCAACACACTCTCAATACCATTATCGCTTGGATGTTGAGGATAATCCTTGAATATCTAGCTAGGAGTCAGCCCTTCAACCACAATTAACTTCAGTCTTATGTTGAACTAGACGAACTCCTTTTAAGAAACCACGAGCAAAGCTTTTCTCAAGACTCTGATGCTCGAAATCCCTCACATTAATTTATCATAAGCCTCTTATATGCAATTTTAGATTTCTCAATGACAATACGAAGACTTCTTGTATTCTTTTATAGCATTTAATGATATGGCTTCAGTATGAGCTACATTATCTAATATGTTTGTCTCCCTCTTCAAAAGATAATTTTATAAGTTTTTATACACTTTCTCAAGAGTTTTCTTGTCAGCCTAAAGGGCACTCTTCTCTACAATAAAAAGTCTTCAAGATTTCTTTTGTTGATATACTTCGGTGCGAGCCTCAATCAACTCATGGAGAGAGAAGTTGGCTTCCGAAATCTAAAAATAAAAAGTGGTAGTAATCATTTCCAGCTCAACTTGGCACTTTGCCAATTGGCTATCCAAGGATGATGTCTCTTTGATCTTTGCATTCAACCTTCACTCATATTCTCCTTGAA